CGACACTTGGCGTTCTAAGTTTTTGCTAAGTGTCGCGCCACGTTGGATATATTTTCAATAGACTTCATAAAATAAAAAAAATTAGTTTAGAATTCTATTTGGATAGAATTTAGGAAATTTTGAATTTTGATACCTCGAAAATGACCCTAATTGAATTTTCGTACCCGTTTAAAATATATTTTTATTTTGGTACCCACCAAAGTCACAAAATATAGGTTTTGGTACATCCGTCCATGTTCTGTTATGTTTTCCGTTTAAGGGTCCAGCCACCCCTTGGACACACAATTCACAGAGGTGCTGCTACATCACACCACCACCACCACCAAAACTACCCCCTACACACAAAATTCATAGCGGCGCCGCTCCATCACACCACCAGCACCTTCGATTTGCACCAGCGTCTCTCCATGACACCACCACCACGAAAACTTCCCCTGCAACACGCACCAGCCATCCCCCGCAAAACAACTATTATCACCGACCATCTCCCCCACCGTATCACACTACAGTTGGCCCCCCAAAACCCTAAACCCACCTGAAAAAAATGAAGGTGGAAGGACTAAATTAGACTTGAAAAACTTTGATTCGAAATTAGACTTGAAAAAATGAAGTTGGAAGGACTAAATTAAAAAGAGGAAAGAAAAGGTTTGAATTGAAGAGAGGGAGATAAAAAATGAAGTGTTTAATGAAAAAGTTAAGAAAGATGGTGTATTAAAAAAAATCAAAAATGTTATAAGACATGTGGCACATTGGGTTGGAAAAGAATAAAGGGAAATGTAATATGAGAAGATTTGAGTTTTTAAATACTAAGTATAGATATAGATTTCTTGAAAAATTACACATTAACGGAAAAAATCTAGAGGTGATAAAAAAAAATCGAGCCAGGTCGGGCCTTAATTTCTCATGCCCAAACCCGTAAAAAAGTAGCGGGTTTTTCGGCCTTTTTCGGGCCGAGTTCGGATTTTTTTAACTAAATGCATTTTTAAACTTGCCCAAATTCACCCTATTTTCGGGCCGGATTGAACTGGGTTTGCGGGTTGGGCCAATGTTGATCATCTCTAAAATGATATTTACCAAAGATATCATTTCCCTAAAAAATAGTCCTCTTTCTTACAAAATTCAACTTTCCATAATCATTTTAGTTCTTTCTCTCTATTATTATTTTCAATTAAAAATATTTTAGATTTCATTTTAAAATTTCAAAATAAATTATATTAAAAATACATAATTTATAATTTAAAGAGCTTATATTTCATACATTGATCAAACTCAAAGAACATACAATAGTAAAGTAATTTAAATGTGAAATATGATAATAAAAATAAAATTTGTGAGTCACTAACTTAAAGAACATACGAGCCAAATTCAAAGAACATACTTTGTATACTAGTGAAACCCAAAAAACATGTATGTTTAATCAACATATGTTAATTAACATAAATAATAATGTAAAGAACCTATAGTTATACCCAAAGAACACTCTATCACACTCAAAAGGACATATTAAAGGTATGTTCTTTGTCAAACAAACATAGGTATTGTTCTTTAATTTGTCAAGCATTGTATGTTCTTTCCGCCTTTTTTTTGTTTACCCGGGTGCACCATGCGCATGGTACATCCTGGTGTATGATCTTATTTTCATATATCTTGTGATAAAACAGTATCATATCAATAGTTATCAATAATACATATCTCAAGAATGACATATGTCACATCCTGATGATGCTGATTTTTCCCTCCAAAACTATCCTTTCCTTTTTAATCATTTTTTAAAAAATATTTCATACCATTTTAATAGTATCATTCCAAATCTTTTGTATTAACTTTATGACAAAAATATTGCTTTTTATTTGGTGTATATAATTCTTCTGTACACATTTACCTAAGATATTATTCCATTTAGTTTTTAATTATCGGATAAATGGAGTAATATTTATTAGATTTTGCTAAAAAAGTAATAGAATTTTTTTACTTTTACCACCAAAAAAATCAAGAAATTGTTTTTTACCATCAAAACTTCTCAAAGTTTTATTTTACCACCAAAGAACCTAATAAAAATTGTTTTTCATCACCTGCCGTCAAGAAAACCATTAAATAAATATAACGGTGTTAAAAAAATTTCAATTTTCGTGCACAAAACATGTTATTTTTAGGTTTAGGGGAGCATTTTGATCCGTTGAGTCCAATATGAGGTCAAAATTGACAAAAATGATAAAAAAAAATGCCGCGTTTTACATGTTTCATGCAAATTGAGGTAATTTTTACCATGAAAAATGAGCCATTTACGAACAAAATTTTTCCAATTCTAACCTCATTTTAGATCAGACTCAAGACCAAAATGCCCCTTAAAACCCCTTAATAGCATGTTTTAGTTACGAAAATAAAAGAATTTAAAATTTTCCGTTAGGTTTACCAGATTTTTTGACGGCATCGATATAATTATTTTTTAAAAAATAATAATAAATATTAGACTTACCTTGCATGGCATGAGGCCTAATCTAGTGCCTAATTTTATACCCTTGTCTTAAAAATAAAAAAATAAACCTATTGCATTAATAATTTATATTATGGTTATTTGCTATGTTTTTATCTGAAGCAGATCAAATACTCCCAGCAGCAAGTGTGCAACAATTACACCTATACTTACCAAATTAGTCAAGGCAGGACAACTTCTCCTGTTCAGAATACGCGCCTTTTGATTCGAAACCGTCCATTACTTGATCCACCACCTGAGTTTCGACACTAGAAGTATGTTTATGTTTTAACTGATTCCTTGATATCCCATTTTCAATTAAAGTTTTTGGTGTTGTTTTATAGTGTAGGGCATACTTAGATGTTCCTGGTATAATTTTTAAAACTCACCTGTATAATAAAAATTGTAGTAAGTGATAATTTTGTGATGGGTATCAAATTTGATTTGTTGAATTGTAAGCTTTAAGGTGCTAATATTTTCTTTGTTGAATACATAGGTGTATTTGCAAGTTGATTGATGATTTTTAGATTGGAAAATTGTGAGAATAGTAGTTTCAGCTACATGAAATAGAATTGATTAGTAAGAACGTGGTATTCTTTTATGGGAATTAAATAGGATTGCTAGGATTGCAATATTATTCTTTAGTGGGAATTGAATGGGATGGGTTGGACTGCAATACTCTGATGCAATTTTTTTTTTGTTCATTTTTAAGTCATTAGAGTTCCACGCTCAGTTAATAAGGCAAAAGGTAAGTGGCTTAGGACTCGAGATATTTGAAAGCTCTCTTTTTCACTATATGCATGATGATAGACAAACTTGATGGCGAATGCAGGCAGTATGTGGCTTTAGGACCCTAGAGATATGAAAGACGAAAGCACTTGCCTCATCTTTGTGATTTGTTTACAAGCATCTTGAAATGAATTTATCAAGATGGTTTTGGGCTACACCAGACTGCATAATTCTTAGGTTTTCTGATTACTTCTTTAATTGTGATTTGTTTTATACTTTAGGGGTTAAGGTATTTGGTTTAGATGTTCTGAAAATCAGTTTTATTTTGGTTTTCTCACATTTTTTTTTTATGATAAATCGGTTTTGAAATGTTAGTTTTGTAAATTTATTGCTTAAATCTTCAATTGTATTGTGTTTGTTACGAGTTATATACGCGAGTTAACAGTGAAAAAAACTTTGGTGGTGTTGCTACTGCAGTATAAATTCTTCAACTTTGTGTTCTATGTGACTTAGTTAATAACCTAATAAATAAATTATACATTTAAAACTTTAAAAAAAATGTACAATCACTAATTTTTAATGTAATTCAATTCATCAACAAATATGTTTATTAATTAATCTACATTTATTCATAATTACCTAAAAAAACCTACAAATTAGCCAAAATAAATCACATTTCCGGTCTCACACATTAGCAACACTATATTGCTTTGCGCATAACGCGCGCGTAGCACTACCCTAGTTTTTACAAAAGTATAATTGAAGATTTTATTAGCTAAAGTAATGCATTGACAAGCTTGAAATTTCTCATGGTGCAATAAAAAATGAACGGAGGAAGTAATATTTTTGTCAATTATAGACTTAAACTAGGTTAGAACCTGTGCTATGCACGTTTTTACAGTACAACAGTACTTTTATTATTTGTTTATTAAAAAACATATAAAACGAACTCATTGATAGTAAAAAAAAAAAACATAAAAAATCTGAATTGAGCTGAAATGAATATTTTACGAGAGTGGAAAATTAAGAGCTGAACTGAACTGAAATGAAATGAATTGATTGGAGCTGAGCTGAAATGAATATTTTATGAGAGAGGAAAATTAAGAGCTGAACTGATTAGAGCTAAACTGAACTGATTAGAGCTAACCTGAACTGATTAGAGCTAAACTGAACTGATTAGAGCTGAACTTAACTGAAATTAAGTAAATGTGAACATGCCCATAGATTGACACAGTGAAAAGGTTGAAACGAAAAAGAGATAAAAAAAATCCTACAAAAAAAAAACAAAACAAAATAAAAATATATATGACATCATAAGTGCATTTGGAGGGAAAATTTGTTATGAGAGTGCGCACATATACGGTTTGGGAAGAAGATGATGTCAGCAATTTTATATTTTAGTAATACGGAATAGTTATTAGATTACAGCTAGTCAAGTTTATATAGTTCACAACAATGTCGAATACGTTGTCATTACTAACATAGAGTTTAATAAGGTAATTTGAATTAGATACTGATTATGTCAACTCATAAAGATTCAAATGTGATATGTAGCATTATGGGATTAATGTACAACACATGCCAAGGCTTCTATAAAGGCGAACCATAATTTCAATATTACAATGATAATACAAAAATAAAAATAACCCTAATATTTTTTTTAGGGTACTTATTAAAAATCATTATATTGGTAATTATTTGGCCAAAACAATTTGCCAGCACCTAACACCTAGGCATATTGCACGATTATAAGTTGCCTATTTTTTTAAACGGTGTTTTTTCTATGTGGTTGGTCACATTGTATGGTCGAGGTTACTAATATGAGTTACTTGTTTAAAGGTTACTCAATCAATCAAGGGTTACTTTTTATAGGGTTATTCAATCGATTGACGCATTTTCACTAGGTTATTTAGTCTGGAGTTACTTAGTCGGTCAGGGATTACTTATTCCAAATTTACTCAGTCGATTAGAGCATTTTTTATACAAGAATAACCCCTGACCGATGGGGTAACCCTTAAATAAGTAACCCTTGACCAAAAGAGTAACCCCTAAATATGTAATCTCAAAATAAGTAACCTCTATAAATAACCCTGATCACTAGTGTAACCGGCCGCATATGAAAAAATTGTGTTTTTAAGAGGCATTACTTATTCTTGTGCAATTTATTTGTGCCAAGATTTTATGTATCATTTGAATTAAATTTCATTCAATTTTTTTGTCATGATCACAAAGAGGCAAAGCCATGCGGCCCAATCGAGTTAAGTTAGTGTAATCTTGTGGGCCGTGGGCCGCAAGACCTGGGATAAGCAACCCAATCATTCGATAAATAACTTGGCACCAACATTCTTTGTAATCTGGACCCCATTTCATATATGGAAGTATGATTCCCCTAATTAGCTCCCAACTTGCATTCATGTACTTTGGTATCATCCATTGCAATGATAAGTAGTTCTTATTTGGCTCCACTTTCAATTCCTACATTCATCCATAACAAAAACAAATATGTCAAAAGGGATGTACATTGAAAATAAAGTTCCGAATCATGAACGTATTTGTTAGATTCAGATTTCATTTGTAGATGTTGTATGATTTTTTTGTTGATAAGTTAGTTTTCATATTAAAAAATATTATGTCATGGTATATATGCATGTTAATTTACTTCATCCACTTCATGATGTAATTGCTTTCAAAATACGAGTAAGTATAGTCAGTCTATTTATAATTACTTAGGAAAACACCAATTTTTAGGATCATCGTTATGACTGCTCTTTGATAAATAAATACTTATGAAATATATACTTCTCTCGTAGTCTCATATGATCATACGTAAATAAAAAGAAGTAAAAAAAAAAAATTACCTTTCCTCGGTAGAGACTATTGTAGTAGAGGCACGGGCCGAAATGTTTAAACAAAAGAGTCTTGTCATCAAGAGGAAGTCGAGGAACCATATCATTACAATATACATACCTACAATACTTCACATTATAGGCCTTCAAATTCTTCTTCATAAAATCTCCAAATTCCTCATCTCCAACTCTTGGTTGTCCAAATGTATAAACACCCTCCAATCTATCAAGCAATTCTTTCTCTTCATGCAATATTAGAACACTAGCGAATAAAATCGCTAATGCACCACCCAAACTATGTCCCGCTACTACAAATTTTGCGTTCTTGTTCTCTTGAAAAATGTCTCGAAGGACTTGCCTAATTTTGTAATATGCAAATTGTGTTTTCTCATCATTCGATTCGATATCCTTTGGCCATCCAACACCATCTTTAGTGTTTTGGAGGCCTAATGCCTTCATGAATCCACCATGAACTTTCCCTACGTTCGTTAGCCTAAACCAAGAGATATCAATGTCCGCGCTACAATCATCTGCGTCGAAGGGGTTTGTGCCTCTAAATGCCACTACTATTGTGTCTATGTCCTTGCTTATGTTGCGAGCCATGAATGCATGTGTAGAGTTGTTTGCTTGAAAATCTAGCACAAATGACATTTCAATTAGGGCAAATAATTATTGTTACCTCCATTAGTTAAATTTTTTTGCATGCATATTTTTATGTACACTCCAAATCAATAGCTTTAGACAATACATATAATATAACAATACGTAATATAGAGACCACAATGAAAAATTATACAATTACTAGTTTATAATTAATGCTTACCATTTCGGAAGTTGTAGGCTCCTAACAACTCCATCTGTTAAAATATTGGACGAAAAAGGTTGTAAATGTAAGAATATAAAATAAAAATAAAAATAGTGTACGTAGAAATTGTAAGAACATATGATGACATGCAATTACTAGCTAGCATAATCCAATTTTTGAATGATACAGTTGAAACAAGAAGTATGTCTTTGTTAAAATTCAAATCTACTTTCTTTATGTGTTTTAACAAGTATAACATTTATCAAAGGTAATCATGTTTTAATAAGTGTTACCTTTTTTTTGGCAAAAACTACATTTTAATATTATATCTTTCTCTTTTCATAATCCCACCCAAAGTTCAGTAATCAAACTACTTTATTATTATTATTATTATTATTATTATTATTATTATTATTATTATTATTATTTCTTTCTTCTTACATTCATTATTTTTCAACAAATTATTAATCCCACTGTTTTTATTTAGGAAAAATGGAATCTAAAAATCCAATCTTTGCGAGGTCTGACAAAAAAAATCCAACTTTTAATTAATCTCACAAAAATCTAACCTTTGCACCACACCTTTTCCTACAGATCCATTTGACCTTTAACCTATTAAACAGGTAAAAAAAGTATGTATATATATATATATTTATTTTTTAAAAAAAAATTCTCTTTAATTTTCCTCCTCTTTCTCTCTCCTTTCTCCAACAACCCACCAAGGCACCACCACCAATTCTGCCACCCTAACACCAACCACCCTAAACGGCTAAACCCCGACTACCCTAGAACCCAACCCTAACACCAACCACCCTAAACGGCTAAACCCCGACCACCCTAGAACCCCAGCCACCCACGAAACTCGACCCACAAAACCGGGCCGGGGTTATCGGATTTGGGTGGAAGGGTGCTAATTTGGGTCGGGTTTAGGGTGGGGAGGGGTGGAAACAGGTCGGGGAGGGTCAGGGGTTATCGGTTTGTGGTCGGCGGGCTGTGGGGAGGTTCGGGGAGGGGTCGGGCTGGTTTGGGAGGGTCGAATAGGGTGTTTGGTGTGGTGGTTAGGGTTTAGATCGTAGGGGGTTTTGGTGGTTGGGGAGGTTGCGGCAAGGGGTGGGGGGAGATCGTCGGAATCCGACGACCCTGATGGTGGGGCTGGTTGGGGGTGGGGGGAAATTTCCAGGGAGTGGGGGAGGTGGCTGGGGCGGTGCGGGGGCTAGGGGAGGTGGCTGGTGTTGATTTTTTTTTCTTTTAATTTTTTTTTGTTTTTTAATAATTAAAAAACTAATTGACTAATTAATGACTGACATGTGGCACATAACTTACAAAAATCGGTCATCAACAGATAATGGATCTGTGGGAGAAGGTGGGGTGCAAAGGTTGGATTTTTGTGAGATTAATTAAAGGTTGGATTTTTTTTGTCAGACCTCGCAAAGGTTGGATTTTTAGTTTCCATTTTTCCTTTTATTTATTTATTTACTTGTCTACTTCGTTCAAAATTTCCTCCATACCAATTAATCATACTTTCATATAAACTTAAATAAAACCAATGCCAACATCTATATCATCCCAAAATAAAACAAAATAAAAAAGAATATGCGTGGAAAGGTGAACAATAGTACAATACCTTCCAATGGTCCTGAACAATAGTTTTAATGAAGGCAGAATTTTCATAGGATAACTTAGAAGCCATCCAAGTAAACGAAGCTTCATAATTGACATGCCCCGGTCCTATATTTGAGTCCAAATCAACTCTTCTGTCAACAAGTGCCATTATTGATCTATATGTGTCAGTTGACTCGTTTGGCATTATCACATTGCCTGTCAACAATTTCATTAAATCCTCAGCTAAATTATTATACTAATTAAGTAATGATAGATCAAAATTGAAGAGCGTACACATATATGGAGTATGATATACGCATGTACGGATGTACCATCATTTTGTTGACATCATATGTTATTTCCGTCGTAAGTCACAAAAGAAGAAAAAAAAAAAAAACATACGAGTATGTTATTTCTAAGAACTAAGTATCAATACTTAGTAGTTGGTACTATACTAAAGTAATAACCGGTAATATCCCCTAACACACATGTCAGTGTGTCACTTTCTCAGCAAAAAATTTCCGCCCAATGTTTTTTTTTTTTTTTTTTTTTTAATCTTCTAATAAAAAGTTTGTTACACATAAATATGAAGATTATATATTGCTTTAAATTGGTAATTATCTCTTAAATTTTTTTTTAAAAAATAAAACACTTTTAATAATTAAAAAAATTAAAAGGTTTGTTACTATGAACTTTAACATAATAAATTAATAATATTATATTTATAACTAATACTACATTCACTAAAGTTATCCTTTAAGTATACGTGTCGCATTAACAACAGAAAAATTCCGCCAATTTTTTTTTTCCCCTTAAAAAATATCATGATGATAAAAAGTTTATATATATATATATAAAAAGTTTATATATATATATATATATATATATATATGATTTACAAGTCTTATTATTATATAACCGTACATAACATGGGGCAAAAACTAGTAATCTATCTATTAACCTATACTAATGGCCTGTTCTCATTAACTGAACTCAGCTGAACTGAATTGAACTGAACTGAGCTGAACTGAACTGAGCTAAACTGAACTGAACTAAACTGAAATGAATATTTTATAAGAGAAGGAAATTAGGAGCTGAACTGAACTGAACTGAGCTGAACAGAACTTAACAGAACTGAATTTCAACGTAGGAGAACAAGCCCTAAAAGCGAATCCATCCATAACACTTGTCATTACCTTGTAAAAAAATTTCCCGTCTTTTTCGCTCTTTTTTTTTTATGCAAAATCTAAAAGTAAACTATTTATACTTTATGATTTTTTTCCACTTTGACAATCATATTTCATATATACCCAAATATTTATGAATATTTCTAAATATCTTTTATATACTTTATGTAGTAATTTATAATATTATTATAATAATAAATATTTTTTAACAATAATATTTAATAACTGTGTATTGCACGGGATTTTAAAAAGCGGAAATATTGAGCATGAAATATGATTCATTCCACTTGTCAAAAAAAAAAAAAAAAAAAATCATTCCAACTGACAATGCAAGTGACACTTCCATATTATGCTTAGACCAAATCACATTAATCTACACCGTAAAATTATGAGGTAATAATGAAAATTATTAGCTGCACGAAAATAATTATCTTAACCAATAGAATGCGTAAAGCCTAACATGAACGATGAATAATCCACGACCTTAAAACCTAAACATAGTTTGATTCCTTCTCAAGATTACATAATATCTTAGGAGTTACGACCACTTCACAAGTTTGCTTGGACCACATATCAACAGTTTTAAGCACGTTCTTTGACTTAAAACCTATATATAGGTGGCCGGGTGTATTTACACAACCGTTGACTTCAATTAGCGTTGAGGTAATTACTCCCTTCGTCCCTTAATAAAAAACCTCATTTTCTGTTTGGGTAAACCAAAATATAATGTTTTTTTTTTTTTTTAAAGATTGTATTTTTTGACATTATTATTATCCAACTTATTTTCAATTTGTACATTTTAATAATAAATTGTTATTATACATGAATATAAATAAGAATGACGTACATTTTGTAATTTAAAATCTTTTATTTTCATCAAAATTATAATATAGTATCTGTTCAACGCCGTCTAATTCATAGTTCAATGGAGGAGGTCATTTATTAGTGTGCTATTTAAAATTGTTTCAATTTTCTACGATAAAATAATAAGTTTTAGTTGTAATGTGGAAACTTCTAATATTTAAATTTTAAAAATGTTAAATAGGATAGCTCTACAAAAAAAAAAAACAAAAACTGATAACATCATCATTGCATTTAGGCGGAAATTTTTTTACCAGAAGATCGACATATGGACAGTAATGACGTCAGCATCTTCTGTTTTTAGTAATAGTTTATAGATAGATATATAAAAGGTGGGGTGTATTTACACAACTGTTGACTTCAAGTAGCGACGAGCTTATTATTAATTAAGTCATCCAAATTTTATTTTATTTCTCCCGATTCACTCTTTAGGCTAATTCAAATTTGAGTCTTACATCTAGGTGGTTAGTTTTAGTCCCCTCGCAGTTGTTGCGGATTTACAGGGGATCAAACACACCATCTACCAATCTTTACCAACAGCCGCAATTACCACTACGTTACCGGTCAATTGCTATCCAAATCTTAATTAGTGGGAGACCGGAGAAAACTTATACAGATTACAACCGGGTACATGATTATTATGCTTGGCCATTATTCATCATTGATAAGCATTAGCTGAATTATAATATTCACATAAAGCATCCATAAGATATAATATACGGAGTATATATATTAATTATTTATATTTTAATTAGTATTAATTATTAACAGCTGGCTAATTAGACTTTATCAACAAACTATTTAATTTTTTCATGTTGCCTTGGATCACATCTGACTAGTACAAATAAATGGGTCAGATCTTTAAGAATTATAAATTATGATTAAGATCCAATTTGATTATTACTCAATCTAATCTAATATATATGGGGAGTTTTTTCCCGAGTTTTTAGAGAGCCACGTAAGATTTAATTTTCTTAATGCGCCATGTAGGATTATAAATTTAAGTTGTATCCAATTAAATAAGAGATTATTAATTTATTTTACAATTAAATAATTCAAATGTCACGTAAGCAAAATTGACGAATGAGATTTTAAAGTTTAAATCAATTAAATACAAAATATTATCTTTTGAGATTAGTAATTTTATCTAAATATATAAGAAATTTTAGCACATAAATACAAAAAAAATTGTTTTAAAAAATTCAAACAAACCGTGCATCGCACGGGCTTCATCTAGTTTCTTAATAAATCTAAATTGCACTTAATTGGCACAGTGTATGAACAAAGGAATTTTCAAAGATTAGCCTACGCATTTTACATAAATTACATTATGGCTTTGTTGGCCTTATTATGGGATAACAACTATGAGCACTAATTAATATACAAAATTTAACTATATAATTTGCAATGTTGATTGATTTTGTTAGCCTTCGCTTTCAAAGATTAGCTAATTATTACTAATTTTATTTCTAAAATTGGCAAGTAACATAACCTTTAAGGAACGCAAATATATCAATTTTTTAGTAAGTTAATTATGTTCTTATGTTTCTAAAAATAAAATAAAAATAAAAAAATTTATGTAATTATGTAGTTGGATAATAGGGTTATTGCAATTAATTAGCTAATACATACTAATATTTAGTTTTTATTACAAGCCACATGAAGTTTCATAACACAACCACCATATCATTATTTTGTTACACACCCATGCAAAATGCTTATATAAACTCATGAACTACAAAGAAAAAAAAATTGAAAAAAAAAGAAATTATTTAAGCAAATTGCAAATTTTGATGATAATATAATTGCTAACCTTTGATGAAATTCAACAACAACTTGAGCACACCACCATTATTTGTGATTAGATTCATCCATGCTATGATGAAATAACCAATGTATTTCATTGGTTTCTTCATGATACGAAACAACTTCAACATAAAAACAGAAGTAACAACGAGCCATCGATAATTAAATTTTCTTAAATCTTGTTCGAATTGGGAAGGGCTTACAATGAAATTTTTTCTCTCATTAAAGAAAAGAAGGTGAAAAAGATCATTAAAACTAGCATTTTCTGGATTCAATTCAAGATAATCCTTGCATACTAAGCTATCTGAAGAACAGTAGTAAGACATGCCTAGCTTAGAAGAAATGAGAGAATTTGAAAATGATGCAATGGAAGATCGAGCATGTGGTTTCTTTAAGTGGATGTCACAACTTCCATTTATATATTCATTTTTGTTGCTCTATACGCACGAAATTGTCTTGGATTCTAAATTTGGCGTCTTAGCGTCATGATAATATTCCCTTTAACTGTCCACACTAGGACGTAGTTATTTTTCTATCTCTATTCTCTTCGGTTTTTTTTATTTTTTATTTATTTAAATCAACACTTTGATCAATAGGGAGCTTTAAAAAGTTGAATTGAGTGAAGTTAAATGTCGAGACACAAAAATAATTTAGTGAATGAAAGAGTAAACTTGTAGAATCTAATTCAATCTTATTCAGGGGCGGAATTCAGGGGGTTTATTGAACCTACAGACTTTTATTTCAAAAAATTTAGGAAAAAACACACTTTAATAATCCCAACTATGGGCAATTTACTTTTAATAATCTCAAATAAGGTTTATGATCTAATAATCTTAACTATGGGGGTAATTTGCCAACAATAGTCCCAACCGGTCAATAGTAAACCAACGACCTGTTATAACAGGTTACCATGACACGTGTCAACACGTGATTATTGGTCCAAAACTTAAACAAAAAAAAATAAAAATAAAAATCCCAGTCACCTATCCCCATAGTCAAACCCTAAACCCCACCTTTAGCCTCGCCGGTAACCGACCAACCACCCCTCTTACCCATCGAAATCGAACGACCAACCACCTTTGACCCATCCTGGACCTCCAAAACCACCAACCCAGCCAACCTTAAACCCCCAAGCCACCTAAAGTCACCGTGTGCATGTTAGTGGTTTTTGGGATCAGGGTGGCTGTGTAGGCAATTACGGAGGCTGGGGTTAGGTTAGTTGGCCTTCTAGAAGGCCGGTCGGCGAGTTTCAGTGGTCTAGAGGTGCAGCTAGCCAATTTTCGTTGAATTAGGATTTTTTTTAAAAAATTTGCATCAATGATACGTTGACACGTGGCTTAAAATATATATATATATATATATATAACTCTTCATCAGGTTACCGATCAGTGGGACTATTGTTGGTAAACTAACCTTATAGTAAGGATTATTAGATAATAAACCTTAATTGGGATTATTAAAAGTAAATCATCATAGTTGAAATTATTAAAGTGTATTTTTTCCAAAAAAAAACTACTCTATAATTTTATTTTATTTTTTTAAATAAAAAAAATTAAAAGAATTAGATGTTGAAGAATGGCGCAGTGGTAAGTTTTGGTTTTTAAAATTGCATAATCTTTCTCCTAGTTATGGTTCTTGGGTTCGATTCCTACCACTCCAAATTTCATACTTATATTGTAGTATTGTTTTTTTTTTTTTTTTTTTTGCAATAGAATTATAGAAGTAGGAATGTAGTATAGACTTTAAAAAACCAGAATCTCACTCACAAATGAATTCCTCACAAATCTGGGACTCTCACAATTTCACAATAACATAAGATCACTTATTTATTTTTTAAAAAAATTTGTACTCTATAATACGCCAGTAGTCTTATTGTTGTTGATAACTAGATTATTCTCGTGCGATGCACGTTTTGAACAAATAAAATTTTCTAAATTTGTTTATTACGAAGTATTTTTTTTCATATAACAATTTTTAGAAATCCCAAAATAAATAATACATCAAATATTTTAAAAAAAAATTAAGGTTTTAGAAAAAGTTGAATGATGAAAGGGGTAGCTGAGGAAGCAAAAATTAAATTATTTAGATTGTATTTTGGAAATTGATGCTACTAATCTATTAACTACTACTAAAACGAAAGTTGCTGACATCACCATTGTCCATGTGTCAGTTTCTCAATAAAAATTTCCCCGCCTAAATACAATGATGATGTCATCTTTTTTTTTTTTGGAAAGCTATTATATTCAACATTTTTGAAATTTAAATATTGGAAGCTTCTACATTACAACTAAAATTTATATTGTAAGAAATTGAAACGATTTTAAATAGCACACTAATAAATGACCTCCTATATTTAAATATGAATTAGACAACGTTGAACAAATACTATATCATAATTTTGATTAAAATAAAATTTTCCAATTTTATTTAATTCTTATTTATATTCATGTATAACAGCGATTTATTTTTAAAATGTACAAATTAAAAATAGGCTTTATATAAAATGTGCATCGCACGGTATCTAACCAAGTAATATAGCTAATCAAAAGTTATTAAAAAAAAAAAGCATAAACTTTCAAAAAAATAAAAATAAAAGGCATAAAATAATGTTAGTATGAATAATTTTGGTGGGAAAATTTTTAATAACAACTTGACATGTGTCTAGCATGATGTCAGCGGTTGTTATTTTAGTATTATTATAGATAGATAGATAGATAGATAGATATGAGAATGAAAAATTAAATACAAAGGGATATCCAAAAACTTGTAGGGCTGAAATATAAGATAAAGGGAGTATTCCTTACAAAAGTTTTATTACTTGATTGAGATTACATGCAGTGTCATCTATGAGTTGTAATTGTCCTCAAATATGAGAATTTTACTATCATCTTTGTGTTGAATATTTGAAAATGCAAGTTCTATTGTGGCTTCATTTAAATCAACGATGTTTCTTAAACTTTGGGCATACAATTTGTTTTCTACTAAATTTATAAAGGATGTTTCTACAATAACATCTTTAAAATGATTATCACTATAATATACTTAATTTTTATTGGCTGATTTTTAATGTATTTTTTTTTGGTTGGTCAAATTCACTAAAAATGAATTTTTTTTTTATATATATATATATAAAAAAAATTAAAATTAATTAAAAAAAAAAGTTTTTTGAAAATTAAGAAAATTAATTTTCAAAAAAAAAATTTAAGAAAAAATTATTTTTAATAAGTTTGAATGTCTATAAACTGGTAAAGAGAACCTAGAGTCTAGAGAGGTAAGTTTTATAAATTTCGGTTTTTTTCACCATACACCCCTGTTTTTTTTTTTTGGTTAATTATGTATTGAAACTACCTTAGATCTTGATTCCAAAAAAAAAAAAAAAAAGTTAGCACTTATCTTCTTTATCCAACCCTTGAAACCACTCTAAAATCTCCAAAATCAAATCTAGGCCAATTAGCCAAATTGGTATAAAAGTTAGCACCCTTGTGACATATTGGTACAAAGTTAGAAATCACTAGTCATCAAGAGTATATGGTGTATTTTGTGAAAACTTAGGAGTATATAATGAATTTAAAAAAGTTTAGGGTATATAGTGAATAAACCAAAAAAGTTCAGGGGTATATGGTGAAAAAACCGTATAAATTTAGTTTTGAGATGACAAAAGTTACAGTAGTAATTGTGTATATATGTCTGACATTATTATCATGCAAGCTAAGTGCGGTTTAGTGTATGGTTGATTATTATACCATAATATTCTAGAGCCATATATGGGTTTAAAGGTGTGAATTCGAGCGTCTGAGTCAGATTTGGTAAGGTCAACATGTCGGGCTGGGTTAATTTCAAATTAAAAATATGCTAAATTATTGTGGTCATATGAGTTGAAATCTGAATTGAGTGTTGTTCGAGTCAATTTTGAATAGGATAGATTGTGTTTGACTCAAGAGTCGAGTCTCTTGAGAGTGGCAATTAGTCGTTAATAACATACCTCGTGTTAGTTCTTGGTTTGCTAAATATCTGCCCTAACATAAACTCGTATTAGCATAGCAAGCAGAGAAATAATTAGTCAAAAGCTAATTATAAGCTTTTACACGTTTTCTTTTTGCTTCACGGCTTCACCAAACACTGAAAACCCCTAATTGGCTACTTGTATCTTAGTCCATTGATGGCTAATTCATTCCAACAAGCTATGTTCAATGTTGGACTAAGATACACGTAGCTAATTAATTCCTACGAGCTATGTTCAACTTTGGACTAAGATACAAGTATAGAAAATGAAAAGTTTGTATTTTAATAACTAATTCATCAAAGGGGGTACTTTCTAATCGATTTTATCCATAATTTCATGCATAAAGATTATCAATGCTTAACTTTAATCATTACGGGATAATAAATTTTCATTTTAGATAAGTTATACTCCGTAATTATATAAAAGTTATATATTGCAATTATATATATATAAAGTTATAATTATATTCAACAAAAAAATTAAAAGATTGATAATCATATTGGAAATAATTGAATAAGATTGTACAAGACTATAATTATCAATGTCAGAAATAATAGATACACAATGTAGATATCGTTCACAGAATGAACCAATTCACCCGTAAACAACTTGTAACAAATCATTTCATTTTTAACAATAAATTCATTTAAAGTCGATTTTTAATTGGCTAAAAGCACTAGTTTAAAAAAGCATGCTCAAGCTAAGCTTGACATGACACACCAAAAAAATTAAATAGACTTGAGGTTAAATCCGTAGTCTTACTCTTACTGTCTTACATATGGAGTATGTACGACAATAATGTTTTGATAGCTCCATCAACCTCATGATTGGGAATTGAGAATAATTAATTTTACTTGGAGATTTTTTTTTTTTTTTGGGACCAAAATAAAAATTAAACATGACTTTCAATTAAGCAGTAATTGATTATGTTGCTAATCAAAATGGGAGACAATAAAGCAAGTTAAGGATCTCCTATGTTTTTTTTTTCCTATTTAATATGAATATAGTACAAATAACTTTTATTATATCTTATTTTATCTTGCTTGTTTCTGCCCCTGCTTCTATCCCGGACTCTAAAAAAGGTAGGAAAAGAAAGCAAGGGGCAGCCAATCTCTTTGTTTTCTGTAGGTTTATGGACTTGCCTTTAGGAAAGGCGTATATCCAGTCCCTCCAACGAGAATTGGACAAAACTTGTCCGGGTCCTCCTTTCGGGCGGCGTAATCAGGAAATTAAGTTACGGGCGGCCTGTGCCGGAGCCCCTTCTTTGGTTTTGCCTCCTCTGATGGACCACCTGGTTGCCCATCCTTATCGTCAGGAATCAGTTACGGGGAGGCAAGACCAAAGAAGAGGCCCCGATGCGTGCCGCCTGTAACTAAATTTCCTGATTATGCCGCCCGAAAGGAAGATTGGAACTTATTTACCCTTATATATTCTTATCTAATCTTATGAAACTTCATCTATTATTAATCTATTACACATTCATTATCTTACTTGAACCCGAGAATGAAGGATTGATTCTCATCATCTGCCTTGTGGCTCTCTAAAAGGGAAAAAAAAAATCTTACTCGAACCCACAAGTATTTACTCTCAGCTAAACTTATTAAACTTGAAATAAATGAAATTAAAGTGAAGAATACAACGCATTAAATCAACCAATGTAAATGAAATGAAAATAACCTTAATATCATTGATTAATAAAGATAACTTAATACATTATTGTTGTACAAATCTAACATTATTGTGGTACAAAAAATCTATACATTATTGTCATCTACTCAACCTATTATGCTATATAATTACTCAACAACATTATTACTCCATATAAAATTTAAAAACATAAGGATAATTAATGTACTTCAAACACCCAACCTCATATAAGAAGGATGATTATTTAACTATATAAGCCAATTATTAACCATTTTCTATATATAAAAATAATTGTATATACTTGCAAATCACAATGACTAATTAAAAAGGAAAAAAGACACTATAAATATTAAGTACATATATCACAAGGTGTAATAAAAATAGTTTAACAATCCGGTGTAACATCTGGGCTACACGCTAGTTGGAATGAAATGCATGTATACATTCCAACTTTATTCTTAGATCAACCAACCCTTGATTATAAATAAAAAGATTGCATAATAATGCAAGCAAGATTTGAATCTGGTTGAACCTTAATTTCAATTTCATGTGTTTAATTTCAATGTTGTTGATATCACTTGAGCTTCTTTCTCAATTACCTTCCAAGCTGCAACCACATGACGTTTCTCTGTGAGTGTGGTCCCCACTGCAAACCTCAACATGTAGACCCCACTAGCAATGGTATGAGTCATGTAAACTTGACCGGTTGAGTTGATACGGTCAAGTAACTCCCTATTTAGAGACTCAATTTTAATTGATTTGAACTCACTTGTCGGGTTAAACCGGAAACAAACTAGCGCAAAATTTGGAGGCGCTACAATCTCAAACCGAGGATCAGATCTTACTAAACTCTCGAAATACCGAGCCATGCCAATGTCAGACCGAATATGATTTTGAAGGTTCGTAATCCCATAGGTCCGTAGCACGAACCATAAACGGAGCGACTTGAACCGTCGACCCGTACCAATTTGCCAATCCTTATAGTCCACTACCGAATTGGATTCACTAGGTTCATTCTTCAAGTACTCCGGGTTAGTACCGAGGGCTTTAACCACCAAACTCGGGTTTTTCATCCACAAGCAACAACAATCCAAGTAGGTTAGCAACCATTTGTGAGGTGCAATACTTAGGGAGTCAACTCGGTCAACCCCATTTAAATGGTACCTAAACTCAGGGCATATACAAGCACTTCCAGCATAAGCAGCATCAACATGGACCCAAATGTCATAATCACCTAATTAATGATCAAAACTTTGATGGTTAACTACGTTATTCCAACAACCAACTCGTTAATTAGATGAGATAGTGATCAACAATTAATTAATAATGACATTTAATAAATGACACATGCGTGAAAACTAACTTTCTCTATTGTACGTATTTAGGTGAAAACTATGTTAAATTAAACTACTACCTCCTTTACATATTATTTGCAACGATTTGACATAAAGTAGAGAGATAAAATGTCTAATCGTTGCAAATGCAAATAATATGTAACAGAGGTAGTATGTTACTTTGACTAATTTAGGAGCAAATTAAATAAAATAATAAGCTTGATAGATACTAATAACTCAAGTGAACTCTAATAATTAAATAAGGCTATATTCAACTAACTTGATTCGGTATGAGATTTTCCAATCAAGCCTGAGATGATGTTTGGATTTAACTAAACTTTGAACTTATTTGTTATATAAGATGTAATTTAATTATACTTCCTCTGATTCACAAATATTGCACGAAAGAATAATTACACATTCTAAAGCATATGTTATATGTTAAACATCTATGATTATATAAGAGTAACAAATATAAAAAGTTGATATTGTGAATATTTTTCGAGACGAATCTTACAAACTCCACATGACTATATTTTAATTTACGTATAAATAATAATTGTGGTCAAACAAAAATGATAAATAGTGCAAAAGTCCGGTTGTAGCAATAATACTAGAACGGAGGAAGTATTCGTAATATTGTGTATTTTTCAGGTATGTTTTCCAAATATGTAATACTTCTTCCGCTACGTATTACTCGTAATAAAAGGGTGTTATTATTGAGACATGAAATATTCCTTTGTTGCGGTAATATTTTTTTTTTTTTGAAATATGTTGCGGTAATATGTAACAGAGGGAGTATATATTTGTAATTCTTTGTATTCAAAAAGTACTATTGTAATAAAGAAAAAAAAAAGATATATAAAGATATACAAACTCAGACAAAATATATTGTTACTAATCTAATCAACATCTACTTAAATAGGAAATTAAATGTTATTGTCGTCAATCGTTTGAGCAACAGAAGTTGGTATTATATCATACTTCGTACTACAAATATATATGGAGTATAACACAAACAAGTTGGACTAACCTGCAATATCGAGGAGTTCTTCCAATGGATCAATGGCGGCTGTTGAAGTGGTCCCCACAGTAACACATAAATAAAGTGGGACCAAGCCAGCTGCCACATCAGCTTTAATGCACTTACGAAAGTGACAGGGTGGCAATGCAAATTTCGAATCGACCGTTGTAGGAATTAACCTAATATTCTTAGGTGGTATGCCGATCATCTTGCACGCCTTAGCAAAGGTAGAATGTGTTTGATCGGAAGCATAGACTACTAGTTTCGATACTGGATTATCGACGTTAGTCGCCGCCATTGCTCGGTTTCTTGCTGCTACGAGTGTGCAGAGTATGGCCTCGCTTGTTGTTCCATGTATCACACCTCCTCCCGTCCCTTATATCAAACCAATTTGGATATAACATTAGTGTGACGTATAACACATTTATAAAATTTAAGACATTTTTTGGTATCTACATGCATAGATGAATAATTTAGATTTTGTTTGTCAAAAAAGAATAGTTTAGATTTTAGCACTGGAGATCACATTTTGACGGTTGTAAAACAAAATACTTGACAATATATACATGTGGTTATGCCTTGTTACAAAGAAACAAATAGAAACATGGAATAAATTCTTGGCGCATAAATACTACTTCGTATTTACTTATTTTGTAAATAGCATGATCAAATAAGACAAAAGAGTTAAGGAATAAGGATGACTATAAGTGCTGATCGAAGGGCTATTACGGAGTAACGTACTTCGTATATTTAATGAAATTACTGTACTCCTTCCTACTTCAGTAGAAAAAAAAAAGATATATATTATATGTTTTTTTTCTAGTCATATATTATTACCCTAATTATTTATTATTTAAAAATCTAAAATTTGAAAATAAAAACTCAGATTAAATTCTATTTTTTTTTCTTACAGGAATATTAGGTTGAATAAAGTACATGTATAATCTATTTACATTCTTGACGTTAGAATTAATTGATCTATTACCAGTTTTGTGTAAGATAACATATGTTGGATTTTTCTATAGCGGTTGTTTGAAATATGTCTATCATATTATTTTAATGATAAATAATATGAGCGATCCATTTTTTCACATTATAAATTGGACACAATTAGTTAGTATTCTAATATCTACAATACCAATATAATTTTGAAAATTTTAATCCAACATAAATTAATATCTTTCAAGAAACTATATAAAATAAGAATAAAAATTACATAAATAAAACTAAATTTTGATAAAAAAAAATTTTTATAATAGTACTTTATAGCAAAAATAAACTATATAATTAACAACTTGATGAAAAATACATCAATTATGAACTAAAATATTATAATAGTCATATTTCAAACAAATCACAGGCAATTTCGCGTTTTATAATGTACTCTGTGGTTGCTCATGGCACTGAAATAGAACGGTGTAATCAATGTCAAAATCAAAGCACCTTCTATATTGTTCTAAGTATTAGTGACACACAATTATTTTCTTGCATAGTAAATGAAACGTGAACAAACAATAATGTTTGTAAACGACCAAGTCCAAAAAAAATTAATGCTTGTACAACATTGGGACATGTAACTCAATTATAAATGAAAAGAAAGCATAACCCCCTTCCCGTCAGAATATCCCATCAATACTTTTGTAATATATTATTAATTTGACAATTAGCTTAGATTTATATGTTTTTTCAATACTTTTGTAATATATTACTCTCTCCGTCTCCGAATGATAGTCATTATTTTCATTTTTGGACACCCAAAATGTTAGTCACATTTTACAATTTTAGGTCTCATACAATAACACAAAATGGCCTATATACCCTCTTTTTTTCGGATGTATTATCTGTGCTTTCCAAAATACCCTCATATTTGCCTTTGTACTTGTGCCTTAATTGAATGAGTTGACTTCCTTTTTAATGACAATGAGTTTCTTTTTCTTCTTTTTGTTTTGCAAATGATTGGGTTTTAGTTCCCATGTACTTTATTTATTTCTCTTTAATTCCCGTGATTTTCACCCAAAAGTGACTATCATTCGGGGACGGAGGGAGTATTAATTTGACAATTAGCTTAGATGGTTAAAAAAAAGGTTAAACGGTGATCTACCTTGAGGTTGAGTGATCGAACCTTCTTGTCCATATCTATTTTTGATTTAGTTAAAACAACATATTTGAAGTATTGTTGATTGTGTGAGTGACATGGCCATGGTGTATCGAAGAATTCGATGGGTGACGTGGCGTATTGAGCAATTAAGTGTGTAACGTGTGATAGTGAGGGATCTACGTGACATATAGACGTTTTATGAATGCCTTTTAGCTAGCATACATAAATTAGATATTATGCATGTTACATGTTAGTATGTTACTCTCATAAATCATACTGACTTATAATTTCCCATACCTCTCATATTGAACTGATCGAGTATTTCAACTAGGAAATAAAAAAAGCGATGATTATCCGATATTAAAGGACGAGAGAGTAATACGTAAAAGAAGAAGTCTTATATATAAGTAACCATCTTAAAACAACATAAAAACAATTATTTGATCGAGACATTTTATGTTAGTAGCCTAGCAAACAAAATGTTTTTTTTCTCCTTTCTATATCACGTTAATAACCCAAACAACATTATACGGAGTAATTTTTATTTATATTATTTCATGCACTATATTTGAGCATCAATTAACATTTTTAGAATGCATAGATACGTGTTTCATGCATGATACATAATATAATGTAATGCAATATAAAATGGTGTGTTTGAAATTAGGAAAGTATCGATACCAGAGAACATGAAGGAGGTAGGGAGCTTAAGCATGGAAGCAAGCCAATCCATGACAACCATCTCTAACTCCGTAGAGGCCGGGGAAGCGAGCCAGTTAAACCCAACGCTATTAAAAGCGTTACAAAGCATGTCACCTACGAAAGCAGCCGAGCTAATGGTTGCAGGAAAGAATGCAAAAAATTTGGGGTGAAGCCAATGTGTCATACCTGGGAAAATGTACTTGCTAACATCCCCTAGGATGACCTCAAACGGCTCTGGCCTAGCTGGAGCCGTTTGAGGCAAGGATGATAGCAAGTAGCCAGGTTGCACTTGGCTTAAAACGGGAAAATTTTCAATATTTTTGTAGTAGTCTGCAATATAATCTACCATTTGATGGGCTTGTTTTCGGAATTCTTCATGGTCTAAGGGTTTGAACTCGATTGGGTTCGAGGGGGAGGAGGTGTTTGTGAGGTTTGGGTCAAGGCTTCCCATGGTAAATTTGGGGTGGTTAGAACTTAGAAGGGTAGTATTAGTGTATTACTAGTATTGAATTGGAAGGGGGTTAAGGGACAAAGGGTGTAAGCTAAGGTAGGGCTATTTATAAGCAAGGTTGTTCTATGTCTTGAGACACTTGATACAAGGGTAGTTGAAAAATTAAATGTATAATTCATAATATTGAGCTAAATTAATTGATTTTTATGTGGTTGTTCAATTATATATATTGTTTCTCGTTAGAAAGAATGAAATGAGGAATTAATTGAGGAGAAGTTGGTGCATGCTGAAAAATCTACCGCTTTGTACGATAGTCCACAATGAAAAAGAGTGGTGTGACTATTCTTTTTAAATAGGTAGTAATTTTCGTTTTGTTCACTGCTTTAATTAGGGAGGGTAACAAAGTCGTAGCCCATTGTTTCACTGCTTTAGGGAGGGTAACAAAGTCGTAGCCATGGCTAATTTGTGGCCTGTGCTTGAAGAGAGGATAATTTATTTTGATACGACTCTGATCGAAATAAAGAATCTCCTCATGGAGGATAGCCTTAGTTTAGGCACAAATATTAAGGAGAGGAGAGAGTGAAAGAGAATGAAATAGCAAGTGGAGTAACTTGTAAATGTAAGGTAAAAATTTACCCCAAAAGAAAACGCGTCAACTAAAAAAAAAAACTTCTTAAAAAGGAATATGTGTCAACTAAAAAAAAACGGGGGTAGTATATAGTTCCACAAGGCCACAACTGTACTAGACCACTAGTACAAAATCAGATATCAAATGTTAAAATTCGAAAAATGCTCAACCTAAACACGATAATCAGTATGATACGGAATGCCAATGTTCAATATTAACAACTCTATTGAATTAATAGTAACAAATATCGATTAATGTGGAGTACTTTACTAAGATAATTTAGCAGTTGAAATTGTCAGTGAACAAGTACATAAATAAAAAAACACACCTTGTAATTGGAGTACGCAATTTTTCCCACTTTCTCGCTTGCCGCGGTTCATAGATCAAGGACAAAATATGGAATGTTGGACTGTGGAATGTACTAATGTAGGATGGAAGCAGCCAGCAGAGGTCATCCACAATCTTTTATGTACTCCTTTGTAATTCTTTAGCAGATAAAATACACTAAGGGCATGTTCTCATTGACTGAACTCAGCTAAACTGAACTGAACTGAACTGAGCTGAGCTGAGCTGAGCTGAATTGAAATGAATATTTTATAAGAGAAGGAAATTAGGAGCTGAACTGAACTGAACTGAGCTGAACTAAACTGATCAACTTAACTGAGCTGAGCTGAACTGAACTGAACTGAACTGAATTTCAACGTAAGAGAACAGACCCTAAATATTAACGAATAACAAACAATAGTGAGTGCATTTAGGCGTATACGGTCTACGTGTTTCACATGCACATAGGAGGGCAATAAAGGTTTTTTTTTTCTCTCTCTCTCTTTACGGTACATTTAGGGCCTGTTCTCATACGTTTATTTTCAGCTTAGTTCAGTTTAGTTCAGTTCAGTTCAGCTCCTAATTTCCTTCTCTTATAAAAAATTCATTTTAATTATGTTCAGTTCTGTTCAGTTCAGTTCAACTCCTAATTTCCTTCTCTTATAAAATATTCATTTCAGTTCAGTTCAGTTCAGTTTAGCTCAGCTGATTTCAGTCTATGAGAACAGACCCTTAATATATCATTTTGCATGTAATAATACTTTCTGCCATTAAATTTTCAACCGTTGTTTTTTCTCTTGTTATCTTTATGGGTGAACAAAAAATCAGAGTACCCTTAATTGAAACCGGAACCTGTTAGGAACCGTAGGTTTAACAGGTTCCGAAACCGAAATCGAAACCGAAATCTTTACAGGAGGTTCCGGTGTACATGTTTCGATTTCGTTTCCGGGTAACAAAATGGAGAACATGTTGCCCAGCTCATCAGGTTCTCAATTTTTTGAAATCGAAACCTGTAGAGTACTCTGTAACTTGATAAAAGTATCACTTAATTTCAAATTATACACCAATTATTCTAACTTATTTCTTAAATAATAAATTAAAATAATAAATATATGTATTAAATTTGTTAGACAACTACTACTTCCTCCGTTTTCTTTTAGATGCAACACACCCTTTAGCGCGGTAATTAAGAAAGGTGGGATTTACATGATATAATAAACTTTAAAAATAGGATGAGTGATTGTAACGAGTGTAATTAAGGCCCTGTTTTTTTCACCTTAAAAAAATAATATTAATTAAAAATAAGTTCAGTTCAGTAAAAATAAGTTCAGTTCAGTAAAATTAATTTTAGTTCAGTAAAAATAATTTCAGTTCAGTAAAAATAAGTTCAGTTCAGTAAAATTCAGTTTTCTTAAAGAAGAATTATAATAGAAAATCAGTAAAAATAATTTCAAATTAGTAAAAATAATTTAAGTTCAGTAAAAATAATTTCAATTCAGTAAAAATAAGTTCAGTTCATTAAAAATAATTTCAGTTCGGCAAATTAAGGTGAATCAAATAGGGCCTTAGTGGGCCATGTGCTTTAAATAAGGGAAATAGTATAGTTTTTCCCTAAATTAACTTTTTTTTATAGTGTGTTGCAAGTATTACGACATTTCCTTTTTAGGGAAGTGTTGCAAGTAAAAGAAAACGGAGAAAGTATTAGTTTGTTTTATTTGCAAGTTGTAAAGATTATAAATTAGTGACAAACCTTTGTTTACAAAATCTACAATAAGTTAGTAAGTATATTACAAGAATCGAAACCTGAATCGGAGCCGAAACCTACAAGTATTACAGGTTCCGGTTCCCAATTTTCAAAAACTTATTCAACAGGTTCTGGTTTAGATTCCCATTTTAAGGAACTTGTTCCAACAAGTTCTAGTTCCAGGAATTTTAACAAGGTACCCTCTTTTGTTCACCCCTAGTTCTCATTATTCATAAAAATGTCATCCTACTTATTTTGTTGGCACATAGGCCATATGCGCCAATACTTCTCCAACAAAAGCACACAACTTTATGTGATTCAAACATCATGGGTTGGTAAGATGTTATTCTTATGTAAAACGCGGTAGAAAATTGAATAATGTGGAAAAATTTGCTCATGAATATATCATCAAAGAGGAAATGCAATTTTCCTCATGAGGAAATAAATGCAATTTTTGTGATGAGGAAAACCGAATTCCCCCTCATGGCGTGAGGAAATAAATTGATTAACAGTAGCAAGTGGGCCCTATCACCACTTGGCCCACTTGCTACTTTTTTTTCATAAGGGCATGTTTAGCATCATTTTTGGTTTTCAGTTTTCTGTTTTTTTGAAAACTAAAAACCAAAAACAGGAAAAAAGAAAAAGGTGTTTCCACTTTTCTGTTGTCAGTTTTCAAAATTATCATGATTTTAATAAGTCTAAATATTTTTTGATTCTTTATGTGACATATATAATATACTTTTAAAAAACAAAATAACCAAAAAAACATAAAACATGGTGTTGCCAAACGAACCCTTAGTTAATATAATATGGTTTTATTAAAGTAAAAAAACAATTCATAAATAGTTTTGCCTTATTTAAATTTTTGATTTTTATAAGGAAAGAATTAGTAATAATTGCATAAATCAAGGGAGTAATTTCTTTACTTAGAGTCATGTCATCAATTCACAATCAATTAATTTAACCAATTATAATTTAATATGGAGTATAAAATATAAAATAAAAACTAAGTTAAAAGTGGAATACATCTAATATCGGGAGATTTTTTTTAAAACACCCAAAATAATACATGGGACTAACAAATTGAAATGGGAGGAGTACCTTAGCTTCTTTTTCACTTAGTTCTTTATGAACGAAAATTCCCGATACTTCACCAAGACTAAATAATTAAACTCAAATTAAAATACCTAATATTGGTTTCACCCTATATAAAACGAACACAATACACCTACATCGGCTACATGATGTAATTTTATTGAAATTAACGACAAAGCATGAAAAATTAAAAATTATGGATTGGAAATAGTCATATTTATTCGGAAAAATCTTACTAATTCAATTTAAATTCAGATCAATTTGGCTCGGAAAAATTATGGCCTCGACCCTAACTAGTTTTTCCATTATACCCTTAAGTACTAAACATAATTATTGGACACATATTTTGTGTGTGTATATTTATATATATTTTCTCCGTTTTTTTTAGTTGACACCGTTTGACTTTAACACTATTCACATATTACACTTTGACTCGCTTTTGTGATTTATAGATATAATAAAAAAAATAGTCATGTGGGATTTTATTTGAATTGTCTATATGCTTATATTATTAATATCCACTTTTTATAAATTTACAATGTTGATAATTGAAATTAATAAGCGTTAAAAATATACGTTGATAAGCGTGATAATAAAAAGGTGTCAACTAAAAAAACAGAGGAAGTATTTTTTTGGGTAATGCTATATGCAGCCCCATATAAACATTTAATATACTTTCTTTTTTAGTTTTTAGTTCGAAATTTATCGACAATTCACAAGTAAATCGGTGTAATAAATATTTATTTATTGTCATTTCTTTCCATATTTAGCTTTTTATATGCAGCATGCATATATCTTTTTTTCATTTTTTTTTATAAAAAAATAAAAATAAAAATAATCCATTTTTTATTTTTGTTGTTCACCCTTTTGACCCCACAAACAAAATAAAAACAGCCAATGGAAGCACGCAAATCTCTCGCTCAATAATTTCCATTTACACTTTGCATTTTTGCAAGCATAGCAACCCCCTCGAAAGCAGGAAGTTAAAGGTAGAGAAAAAGATATGAAAATAGAGAGAATTTTGCAAGAATATTATTGAAAAAAGAGAAATAATATTGCAAGAATATTGTTGAAAAAAAAAAATCACAACATGGCGGCATATAGGGCTGATGATGATTATGATTATCTGTTTAAGGTTGTATTAATAGGAGATTCTGGTGTTGGTAAATCCAACCTTCTTTCTCGATTTACTCGAAACGAATTCAGCCTCGAATCCAAGTCCACCATTGGTGTCGAATTCGCTACTCGTAGCATTAGGGTTGATGATAAAATTGTTAAGGCTCAAATTTGGGACACTGCTGGCCAAGAAAGGTAACGTAAACCATTGCTTATTAGTTATTACATTTTTGTTTTAACAAATGCATGTTTTTCTTCTGTTTTATATTGATTTAATAATTTAATTCATTCGTTTGGTGTACATTTAACATGAGTTTTGTTTATTAAGTTTTGTGCATGGTGCCGATGTTTCGAAATGAATTATACCATTATATCAAAATGATTAAAAAATTATGAGGGAAAAACAATGTGCAAGCACCCAAAGAAATTGCACCAGACATTTAAGTGGGTGCATGCACATTGTTTACTACAATCTCCGTTTCTTTTTAGTTGACACGTTTCTTTAGTCACGTTTGCTAATGCACAACTTCAACCATTCGTATTTTTAATTACCGATAAGTAAAAATTATGAAAATTTGATATTTTGATAATGCTATATGTAAATTTTAGGCTTTTGCTGTTCGTTCAACTACTACGCATATTGAATTGAAGGTTAATTTGCATGTATAATGTCATGATAGATCTTTAGAAATCGCATTACTATGGGATTTCGCTGTCTGTAAAATATTTCGAGGCCAAGAAATTTGGAATCAAGTTTTGTATACAATGTGTAATGTTTTTGGTGCATTGTTGCTTTTGTTGTTGAATGCTTGAAATATGTAATGTACTTGTGATTTAATGAACAAGTGAAGCAAAAACATTTGAGAAATTATATGGGATAGCATGTCTGTGTGTTTTTGAATGATCTTATAAATTGGACACAATTAGGCTTTTGAAGCTGATTTTATGCTGTGTTGCTTAACTTTTACCTTGACTTGAATTAAGGCCAAAACTGTTTTCTTAGAAAGAAAAGAGGTAGAAAAAAAAAACTGAATTAAGGACAAGCCTCCTCGTCTCCTCGTCAGGATGGCCGAGTTGTGCTAGTCTGTAAATAAGCAAGAGCTGCAATGTGCACCATCTTCATGGCATTTTCTCCTCTTCTTTGGTTCTGATGCTTCTACAGTTGCTTCTCTATGGATTTTCGATTGTTTTGTTCTTGGTTGATTATGGTCTGACTTTAGATCTTTTGGCTTCATGAAGGTACCGTGCAATAACGAGTGCATACTATAGAGGAGCTGTTGGTGCATTGGTTGTTTATGATGTTACTCGCCATGTCACATTTGAAAATGTGCAGAGATGGCTTAAGGAACTCCGCGATCACACAGATTCCAACATCGTGATCATGCTTGCTGGGAACAAGGCTGATTTACGTCACTTGCGTGCCGTCTCTGTAGAAGATGCCAAAGGTTTTGCTGAACGGGAGAACACTTTCTTCATGGAAACATCTGCCCTGGAAGCATTGAACGTCGAGAATGCCTTTACTGAAGTTCTATCCCAGATCTATCATGTTGTGAGCAGGAAGGCACTCGACATTGGAGATGACCCAGCAGCATTGCCAAAGGGACAGAACATAAACATTGGTTCCAAAGATGATGTATCAGCGGTCAAGCAATCCGGATGTTGTTCCAATTAGTCAACAAAGACAGGGTAAAAAAAAAAAAGAAAAAAAAGAACAGAAAAGTGCAGATTCAGATAACAGGAAAATTAAAGAGGATAAATAGTTATATTCTGCTGATACACCCTGTTCATATCATTAATGAGGATTTAATTTGATTAGTTACTTTGTATAGTTGCTACAGATATTTCTGATTAGGAATGACCTTGTTCTTCAGCTACTTTGATAGTTTGTTTATGTTTCATTCCTCTTGAAATTCAATTTTGCTGTCTATGAATCTGATTAGTCTGATGCTTACCTTGTTGATAAGTTGATTCAAAATGTATGATGCAATTGTAAGCGATGTCTACTAAGATTAAAGGACAGCACAGCAGTCGGATAAGAACAAAAACTCCAACCTCAAAGTACGAAAATGACAACGTCTTGGTCAAAAGGACGGCAGAAAAGTCAGATAAGAGTCAAAATCTAAACCTACAGGTTGGAAAATGACATTTTTCTTTGAAGCCTCAATTGATCTACCTTAATGTTGTATGTCCATGACAAAGCAGGAAAGAAAAATGTAACTTTCTTGGAGTTTCCACAAAGGTAAAACAATCTCCATCACTAAAACGCAGAGTTCGCATTTTTAAAATTAACAGCTACAAATCTGCCTATAGAAAAGAGATATTTCCGACTATTTGTACAATCACATACTAGTGAATCAAGCACACAGGGTAAAGCAATAAAAGTCAAGCTCTCGAGTTAAGCAGGGGTTGAAAGGGAGTTTGAAAAGGGTCACTAACATACATACTCCACAGAGCCAATGGTCTGAAGTTCAGCTCCAACATGATACCTCATGACACAATGTCATCAATAAAACAACTTGCACCATTATCGGGGCACATTCTACCTGTAACTGTTTCTCCATCTGCAGTAATATAGTATCCAAAATTTAGCCAATCCAGACTAACATCGGAAAATGCAAACCACAAGAAGCAAGATAGGTCAATAAGCCTAATGCTCTCGACAATAACTAACACAGAAATATGCTCAATCAATACCTAAAATAGAAAATTTATCCTTGATTAAGCCATCTGAATGAGCTTTTTATCGTTTTGTGGAGTTCTCATTAGAAAAGCATATCATAGAATAACATCAAATGTTCATCACGCACAGAGAATGTTCATACGTTCATTGTCTTCATACAATTTGAAAGTATACAAGCAAGACATAAAGCATGCTTTGATTTAATTTACAGTAACAGAAAGGCCAAATAGCATAGCTTGCTACTTTAGGAATTAGGTACTTTCATTTGGTAGAAATCTGTGCTTTAAGTTTGTAGAATATCTCACTACACAAACATCTCAACAGTAATACCTATTCATAAACACCTTCATATGGAAACAAAGCATGTCCCTTCTTTATATCCTCTTGACCTCTTGTTGATAACCTAGCTTAGAGTTTACCTTTACCAAAAAAAGATGTCCCGATTCAGTTAGCAGTTAGCCTTTACCCATGTTTTCTCTAAAAGTTGAGCCCCTCCACCCACCCACTCATTTTTTCTCTCCATATAATCTCCCTTTTAAATCTAATGCTCTAGCTCAATGATAAGATTGATAACCTTAAGCTGGAATACAGTATAAATCTTCTCCCAGGCAGCTTATTAGACAGAGGAGAACAATACTAGTGGCAATTCAAATGCCTCTTCTCTAGACACCATGTTCTGAAATCTTCTCTGGACTCCGGTAACAGTACTAGTGACAAATCAAACACCCTGCTCAATATATGCTACCTTTGATCTGGGACGGAGTAAATTCTTCTCCCAAGCAGCTTAGCATACAGAGGTGAACAATACTGGTGAGTGGTGACAATTCAAAAACCTCTTTACTAGATATAATAATCAGAAATTACTAAGCAGTGCCAATCATCATGCACAAATTTATATCAAGAAGCCTCATCCAAAATCTAGGCCATACAGATTATCAAAAACAAATTTTAGCCATGCATGGCACCCCATTACAGATGCTGTACTTAAATTCCAACAGTCTCCTCCATGCTTAGATTATTGTCTTTTAGGCCAACTCTCCGTGCAATATAAACTTCTCACTCACGCCATGAGAGAAGGCATTAAGGCAAAATTTGGCTGTTCCTTCGATCTACTAATGCATTACATCATGTCCAGCATATAAGAGGATAGACAGTAAAGTTGTCAATCCAAGTACTGTAGTTTGGTGACTTTGGTCGCCCATATTCCATATCGGGGAAAATAATTAAATAACAAAAGAAACTCTACATTGACCTTTAGACAGGGTCGAGATATCCTCCAAACTAAACTTGAGCTACCCAAATAGTTTAGGAGTATTTCGTCAAAGTAAACATGCTCAACGCAGCAACCAGTAATTAAGTTGAGATCTCGTGTAATGCCTACTCACAACTCAATTCCAACACTTACTAGACAAGGAAAATGGAAGGATAATGAAAGTAAAGCTTTACTGGAAATCCACCACACAACAATCTTCAACATGCTACAGACCCAACTTATTATTTCATCCAAGGTTATACTTTGAGAACACCTCCCTATCCTAGTGCGGTTAAAGGGGTAAGTAGCAGAATAAAGACAAGATTGCAAGAAATCATGTCAAAGAAAAGTTTGCACAAGACTACAAAAGCTATACACTATCAATAGAGGAGAACAACTATATGTCTGGGTTCCCCTCAAAATTTGGAAAGATAAGCAATCTACAGGATCCGCCACATAATGATCTTTAGGATACTACAGACCTATATACTTCTCACTTTCTCAGTTCTCGCATAAAAAACCAACACCTTAAGACAATAGGAACCTTCAAAAGCTTGGGGTAGGCTCAGTGTGGTCAGTCAAGTAATCAGCAGAATACAGATGGATAAGATTAGAAGAAATTATGAGCTAGAGTCCTAGATAATCTTGCACAATACTTAAACTAACACGGAAACTATCGAAAGAGAACTAGCTATATGTTTGGGGTTCCCTTGAAAAGTTGGATAGTATAGGGAAAAGATGAGAGCATATTTATGTCATTCACTGAGAGCCTCTAACTATCCAGTATTCCAGTCCCACTCTGCTAACATCTCCCTCCCCGCCCCCTACGCCCCAAATCAACCTATCCACAAAGCATAATCATCATTACAGCCATAAACATCCTTAAGTTAGGTTACTAAAATAATGATTAAACCATTCCATTATTCTCTTCCCCCCTCTATCGTCTACCTGCACAATCGTCCTTAAACCAAAGACTTGCTCTTTCATCAATACTTTATCTTAAGCCTGTCTAAATGACAGAAGCAATTCAACCCCAAAAGACAATGTCATTAAATTACTTATACGAACATTCAAGTAATTACTAACTTACTATATTAATCCTGAGTCCTGACCCTTCAATTTACCTCATTTGCCTACACAGGATACTTGACACTAACACTTCATTTTGGACAAAACACATAAAAATGGTTGTATCAGAGTCTTCAGGCTAAATCCAAGTAACTTAATTACACATATACATTGGGCATTTGGGCTCCTTGAACTTTCACATGCCTACTAAAATAAACAATCACACAACCAAACATAATCATCAAACATTCATATTCACCCCACTAAATCGAGGAACTAGAAATGGAGGAAAGTTATGCATTTACTAATGCATAACATTGATTAAAATATTATAAAAACACATGATAGAGAGAGAAAAGAGGAGAGAGATAGGAAGAGAGAGGCATGTAGGTGGACCACACCTATTTTTTGGTTGGATTGTATCACGTGATGGGAGACCACTTGCTATTTTTCCACTGAAAGTTTATATAGTACCATTGAATCCTTAGTGGTACTATTTACGCATAAATTTAGTACAACTGAATACATATATAATACCATTATGTGCACATACAGTATCATTGTATATTCAATAGTACCATTTGATCATCCAATGATATCAGAATATTTATTAGTTTGTACATATGCATAATTACATGAAAACCCTTAACCCTTTGTTATGCATTTCTAAATGCCTAACATTCCTCCTTTTAAAATTCCTCCACTAAATCACCAATCTCACAAGCAAACAACACAACATTCCCATTATACAAGTACATTACACATTACACATCACACAACTCTACTCAAATCACAATAAATCAAGATGAAAGCTTCCAATTAAAAAAACGCCCCAAATAACATTTTCCCAACAAAAATACCCAGAAAAACAAAACCCCATTTGACAAATTGAGTAAAACATAAAATTCATAAACAAAATTGACCAAGATCAAGTACTAACCCCAGAAAATTATTTTTCTCCTTGATTTTGAGCAGAAGTTGAAGAACCCTCAGATTTTCTATGATCAGATTCTTTAGAAGGAAGAGGGTTTCCACCTTTGATGATCCAACCAAGAGCAAAGAAGGCCCCACCAGCAAGAATAGCAGTACCCCAAGCATGAGAATACCATCTGCTGTATTGCCTTATAGCAAACCTCCATTGATCTCTCAAAGTTGCAGCATCCGGGTTAACTGATTCGGGTGGGTTGGTAAAATGGATTCTTTGACCCGAATTAGAGCCATTGATGGTGCTGCCATTGTTGTGAGCTTCAATTGAGGGTTTTGTTGACGGTGATTTTGATGTTGATTGTGGGTTAGATAGTTTTGGGTGTTCATGGTGGGTTTTCGGGTTATTGGGTTCTGCCATTTTTGTGGGGTTTATTTTATTTAAGCTTTTAGCCTTGGGAACTCTTCAATTGTTCTTGGTTTCTCGCTTCCTTTAAAAAATAAAAAAAATCAAATGTTCAATTGTTGCAAGTTAGCCATCTGTTATGGTTAGAGATGTGCATGAAAATCGATATGTTACCATTTGGATAGCACTAAAAAACATTGCCCATATAGTCATATTCATATCCCATATCAAGCCAAGTTTGATTTAGAGTCTGTTTACATTTACTGAACTGAGCTGAGCTGAATTGAACTTTCCTGATTGGAGCTGAACTGAACTGAAATAAATATTTTATGAGAGAGATAAATTAGGAGCTTAACTGAACTGATTGGAGCTGAACTCAACTGATTGGAGCTGAACTGAACTGATTGGAGCTGAACTCAACTGAACTGATTGGAGCTGAACTGAACTGAACTGAAATTAAGTAAATGGGAACAGGCCCTTAGTAGAAAGATTTGTACCCTCTAACCTTGAGGTTGAGGAAATTCCCATTAGAGATACTTTGTGGTGGGGATTTCCTAACTCTTTCCCCCCATTTCCAAAGTGCTAGCTCACTAACCCAAGTCAAGAGGACCTGTGAGATGTTTTGGCCCAGTAAGGCCCTTCTCCTTCCCAACCCAAAAAAAAAAAAAAAAAATAATCATATCCGATAAGATAAATGTTTAGGTATTCAAAATTAATAATTATGGATCAAATATAAATTAAAATACCTCATATAAGATGGTTATGTTACACACTTAAATAAGTACTCAATTAGTCCAAGCCATTAGATTAAACTAATTAGCTTAGTTTACACATATCAATGAGTAAGGTCATAAGGGTGCTGAAGAATCCATCTAGATCGTACAAATAAACTACATAGTAAATTAGACAATTGTAGACCAAAGTAAAGGGAACTTATATAGTTTCAAGGTCGAGAAATATGCATTTTCAAAAATTAAACAATCATTCGATTATTTCAAAATAAAGCGACCATTTCATTATTCTAAATAAAATAAACTTTGATAAACATCTATTAAAAATAAAATGAACCTATTTAATTTAATATGTTAGTTGGACATGTGTTGTAGTATGATTTGTTAGGAATTTCTCCTTTTCAATTTTCTACCGAATACGATTCAAAATCTGAACTGCTATTCGTCGCTCCCATTTTACCGGGTAACACTATCATTTTGACTTGAATGGACAAATATGCCCTTTATGCAATTTGTGTTATAAAAAGGACTTTGTTCCCCATTTGGACACATTACATGAAACGGTCCCCTCACATTACGACCTTGCTATCCCGAGTCCACTAAATCGGTCCCCACGACCTTAAAACCAAATCGGTCCCCACGACTACCTTAATTTCTTTTATTTAACAAAAAAGATTAATCATAAAATTTTCCGACGGGTCTTGGGTCATGGACGGCGAGTGGAACATTCGTACGCCGGAGAATGCATCGGAACATTCTGTAAGTTTTCTGTTTTTTTTTTATTTTCTGGAAATAGGACATCCGCCTAAAATATCCGGATGTCCTAGGTAGATCCGCCTAAAATTTCCGGATCTACCATGGAACATTCGGAAATTTCAAGCGGAAGTAGGGATCCGCCTGAAAAATCCGGATGTTCCATGGTAGATCCGGAAATTTTAGGCGGATCTACCTAGGACATCCGGATATTTAGGCGGATGTCCCTTTTTATCTTTATTTTTTAAAAAAAAAATGTTAAGTACGTTAATTTATTTTTTTAATGTTAATTAAGTTTTTTTTTTTTTGTTTTTTTTTCGTGGTCTTGTTATTGTTTTTTTTTTGGACAAAGGATTAATTTGCATAAATTGAAATAGTTCACTCTAAAACAATAAGAACTAGGCCTATTAAGACCTTTACAACAAAGCTACGAGCAACACTTGCTCTTATGAACGCTAGAAACCATAACAACTTAAAAGAAACTGCTATCCTAGTTATCCCCTGAGTGTTGGAACCACTGTGTAGGTAACCTCGCCCTGATTCTAGCGAGACGAAGCCTACATTACATGTTGTTCCAAATGTCCTTTTTTCACCAAGGGAGAAGCTTGGGTAATTGACCACGCTGGATACTCTTTGTAACCTGTGGAGCTTGAACAACAAAACCAAAGCAAGAAACGACAGGAAGGTAATATCACTGTAATAAGTAACTTGATTTCTCTCCTTTAAAGGAAAGAAATTCATGATTGGTAGCATACTATGAACCCCAAATAATATGGGAGCAGCGCACGGATTTGAAATTTTGAATGTAAGGAGTACAAACCCCATCACAGACCTGAAAAAACTAACAAAACTCCAACTATAAAAAGTAGAGCCAACTAACAACGAAGCTAAACACGAAACCTTCAAGTCGTACACTCGCAAACCTAACAGAATAAAAGCCATTACCAAATGACTTTCACCCAATTTGTTCTTCAAGGCAAACACAAAATTACTTCCCCTTACCTCTTCAAGATTGGACAAGCCCACCATGGCCATCCAACAAGAAACCAAACATGGACACATAACAGGGAGAAAAACAAACCAACAAAACCAAAAGGGAAAACATTCAACCAAGGAGCAGCAACTTATACTAAAAAAGAACATACTAGCTTCCAAAAGGAAGAGCCAAGGAGAGAAGACTTACAGAGCCTATATCAGAGCACCAAAATAACAAAGAAGAAAACCATAACGGAGAATTTCGAAATTGATCGGAAATCTACGAAACCCTAACCCTAACTTCACCAATTACCGTCGAGATGTCCTTTTTTTTTCCAGCAATCCCCTAACGGTGGCGTTAGAGTTAGCCCAAGACCCCTTTTCGTCAATTTCGTCCCCTTAACACACGGATCGGTAACCACGATCCTTCTTCTAAGCAACGCGAATGCCCGGTGGAAAAGGATTCCTCTTCTCCTTATCTAGCGTAAGCCAACAAAAACAAAAACAAAATCTCCGGTGAGAAGAGGGTAGAATTAAACGGAGGTCGAAGCTCTTCGTGGAGCTTGTTTCCGCCTCAACTTCACCACACGAACAAGAGCTATTGAAAACTGGAGAAAAAGAAAAGAGAACTCGCCGGAGAACCGGCCGCGGCGCCGGAACTCCAATGAGTTCTAGGGTTCAAGGCTTTTATTTTTAGGAGAGAGAACAGAGCGTTTGACAAAAGATTTTTATGATTGAATACGATGGTCTTGTGATTGTTGTTGTGATTAAGTATTTGATAATTAATGTAATTATTATTGTTTTGTATTAATATGATTATTAGTAATATGATTATTTTTTGTAACATTATTATTATTATTATTATTATTATTATTATTATTATTATTATTATAGTTGTTGTTGTTGTTGTTATTATTGTTGTTGTTATTATTATTGTTGTTGTTGATATTCTTATTATTAATTAGTAGAAATATAATTTTATAAATATAATTATTATTATTATTATTTTTATTTAGTAATTAATGTTATGGTATTATTGTTTTGTATTTGTTGTTATAATTGTTTATTATTATTTTTAATATTATTATTTCTATAATTATTATTAATATTGTTATTGTTTTGTATTTGTTGTTATTATTATTGTTATTGTTATTATTATTATTATTATTATTATTATTATTATTATGACATAAACCATGTTTTGTTTAATTTGTATAGGATATAGAATCTGAGGAAGGCGGTGACGGTGTGAATTATAGTGGGAATTTTGTCACGGATACGTTTTTTCCAACATTTGACGATGCAGTTACATGGGCTGATGGTGTTTTCATAAAATTGGGATTTATTTTGGTGAAATCGTCTTATAACAAAACGAGAGATGGTCGGCCGTATCGGTATTTGCGATGTGATCGGTCACGAAGGAGCAAGCCGAGGGATTTGGACCACGCGATACGAAAGGACACCAAAACCAAAGCTAATGGTTGTCCATTCTACATCAAGATATATTATGAAGTCAGCACCGACAGTTGGAAGTTCATTGCGAAAAATGATCACACCGGGACAATCTTGTCTATTTCCAAAAGCATAGCTTTAGCTATTACAACAGCAGTACCTGTTCCAACTCAGAGTTTGGACACATAACCACCCAATGATTGTGTACCAAGAGGGTCACCGTAAAGTGAGCGGATTGAGTCCGGGTGCAAAACAGGTTGTGCGGGACATGACAAAGTCCAAGGTTGTGCCCCGTAACATCATGTCCACTATTACCGAGCAATTTCCTGATGATCATCCAAACATCCGACACATTTACAATTGCCATAATGACTTCAGGATGGAGATGTCCAAAGAAAGAGGAGTTATTCAGCAATTTCTTCATCTGGCGAGAGAGAGTAAATACATTTACTGGGTCACGAACGATGATCACAAAGTTTTGCAACATGCTCGATCCTAACTTTGTCCCGAGGTCCTCCACAGATTGACGACCTCGCCAAGTAAACAAGTCAGAACATAACTTTGTCCTACTCAAACAGCGCAAAACACTACGCTCCTGCTCGATCCAGATATATCGTGCCACGTGACCACCAAAACTAGGGATAACAGTCTCATCCTCAAGACCACCCGACATTTGTTCCTGCACTAATCATGCCTCTGCAGAGCTGGTAGTAGGCTGACTCGATCCACTACCAACAAATCTCCCAAACTGACCCCTATATACCGTATGGTAATCCCGAGGGTCTGGTTCTTCATCACGACCATCAGCATGATTAGCTGAGCATTTGTCTTCCTCGTCAGATATGGGTGCTCCACTTGCAGAGTACAAGGGCCGACTACTACCAGACTGTGGGTCTCCCTACCAACCACTAGTAGACCCGTATTGCTGCTCGGGTTGAAGCGGTGCTGAACGAGATGACTGTCTCCTAACAGACGCATTCAGACGTCGTGATATTGCATGTCGAGCACCAGAACCCTCGATCTACATAAAATAAGTACAAAATCCGATTTTAGTAGTAATAATAATAATAATAATAATAATAATAATAATAATAATAATAATAATAATAATAATAATAATAATAACAATAATCAAAACAACAACACCAACAATCATAATCATAATAACAACAACAGAAAAATTTAAAATTAACAACAACAACAACAATAACCATAATAACAATAATAATAACAACAACAAAAAAATTTAAAATTAACAACAACAACAACAACAATAACCATAATAACAATAATAATAACAACAACAACAAAAAATAAAGTTAACAACAACAACAATAACCATAACAACAACAACAACAACAACAACAACAACAACAACAACAACAACGACGACAACAACAACAACGACAACAACAACAACAACAACAACAACAACAACAACAACAACAACAACAATAACCATAATAACAATAATAATAACACTAATATCAACAACAATAATACTAATCATAATTAGAAATAATAATAATAGTACTACTAATAACAATAATAATAATATTATTATAACAACAACAACAAAAAAAAATAAATTTAACAACAACAATAACCATAATAACAATAATAATAAAAACCCTAATATCAACAATAATAATAATACTAATCATATTTTAAAAATTAATAACACTACAAAATATGCTTCAAGAAAAAAAAGATAACACTTCAAAATAACAACAAAAATAACAAAATCCAAAAAAAAATAAATTAAATTAACAATAACAAAAGTTAAAAAAACATATTATTCACGGAAAAAAAAAATTAAAAACCGGAAGTTCCGCCCAAAAATTCCGGATCTTCCTAGGAACTTCCGGAAATTTAGGCGGAAGTAATATCCGCCCAAAATTTTCGGAAGTTCCAAGGAGGTTGCGGATTTTTCAGGCGGAACCTCCTTGGAACTTCCGTAAATTTTGGGCGGAAGCTGGAGGTTCCGTTTTAAAAAAAATAAAAATTACCTACTCGCCGTCGAATCCGCCACCGCCGCCGCCTCCGCCTCTACCTCCACCGCCGCCCAAACTCCTCCCTCCGAATGTAAGCCTTATTCGCCTCGAATCACCCATCCTTTTTTGTGTTTTTGATGATTGTTGGTTTTTTTTAATTAACAAAAAAAATTTAGATTTAGAGATTCAAGTTTTTTAGAGAGTTAAAGAGTTAAAGAGATAGTGAGTGAGGTAAGAATGAGTTGGAGAGTTGGAGCTTAGGATTGATCTACAAACCCAAATGAATGGAAAAGTGGAAAAAACCGTATTTTAATGTTAGGGGTAAAATTGGAACTTCAAGTCAAAATGCGAGCATTACCCTGTAAAATGGGAGCGACGTTTAACAACCCCCTTCAAAATCATTTACAAACCATTCTCGGAGTGGATTGGTATATTGTGTAAAATTGTGCATAAAAATCTCAAAAATAATTATGACTACTTTACTCCTTCAATGTAATTGTGTGGATTTTATATTATAAGCTATTTTAAGACATTAAACAGTAAGCTTTCTTTTATTAATTGCGTCTAAGGGGTGAACCTCGGTCCGCACGCACTCAGGACCGGAATCGGATTGGACTGGTTCATGTGGTCTGGTAATGGACCTGAATTTTCTGGTTCATGTGGACCGATAATGGACCTGAATTTGTCGATTTGGTTTCGGTTCGATCCAACTCGACCTGGTTCAGGTTCGATTTTCGGTATAGACTATTTTATGTACACCCCTAATTGTGTCTATAAATCCATATTATTTTAAATTTTTTGGTGAATTACAAAAATCTAAAATTAGTTTGATCCAAGTGTTGGACAGGTTTTATCAGTCGGGTTCAATTTGAATCCATTTGTAGAATAATTGATCCGGTCCCTAAATGTTAAGTAAATTTTCAAGTTTTTAGTGTTTGATACAATCCTTTCAATTTAGGACGTGAACAACCGTTCCATGAACTTATAACCTTCTCAATTCATCAATCACCTATCTCACAAACAAACAAGTACATACACAAAATTTCCATTACATTATTGCACATTAGACATTACAAAACCCTACTAAATTTACAATATGATAGATGTGAATAATCAAGATAAAACTTTCTAGTGACATACATACTCAAAATTCAATACCCATTTTTCCTAATAAAAACAAAAGTAGGAGTACAAAACTCAATTAAGAAACATCAATTTTGTTGTTGATTTTGAGCAGAAGTAGAAGAACCCAAAGATTTTGTACATTTGAAGGTTTAGATTGAAGAGGGTTAGCACCCTTGATGATCCAACCCAAAGCAAAACAGGCCCCACCTGCAACAAAAACGGAGCTCCAAGCAAGAGATGACCACCTTATGTACCTCTTTACAGAATACTTCCATTGATCCTTTAATGTTGCAGCATCCGGGTTCACCGACTCGCGTGGGTTCGGGTAATGGCTCTTTTGACCCGAATTTGAGTGTGTCGGGTCTTGGTGTTGGGTTTTCGGGTTATGGTTCTCTGTCATTTTTCAGCTTCTATTTGTGAAGGTATACTTATTTCTTGCAAATTTTTGATAAAGATATACTAGTAAAAGCGGTTGTGCATTTTGTTGTAAGTTGTGAGCTTGCCATCTGTTACTGTTAACATTGCTTGGTGTGCAAGTAGGAATGTATGATAAGAATATAAGATGCTCATGTGTTTAGTACGGTGGTGGTAATCTAGTTGTTCGGTTAGTGTTTGGGTCCGGCAAATACAAGTTTATCTGCTAGATAACGAATTTTTGTTAATCTGGTGGCATTTTTGTAATTAAATATATTGAAAAAGTATGGTCATTTATTCAGTACTTTTGGTGAGCTGTCCAATTACTGTTTATAACTTATATTTAGGAAATTACACATATACCCCTCAATTGGTACACAAAAAGACGCATGTACTCCTCCACTGATACTTAAAAAGACTATAATACCCCCATATATACAAATATTAACTAGGCACAACTCGTTTGGGTCAGCTCATGTTTGAGTTTGAGTTTGAGTTCGAGTACGAATTCATTCAAATTAAGGTCATACTTTCTTTGTTTCTATTTATTTACAATACAATTATGAAGCATGAAATTTTAAAGTCGATATTGTACAATGAAAATGGACAGATTGATCAAATAATTACTCCCTCTACGTTACTCATGATACCTAACCTTTCTTATTTTTGGAGTTAAAAATTATAGGGTTTTTCTATCCAGTGCCCCTGAGATATTGACTTTTTCAAGCCGTGCCCACCCATTTTCAAAAGTCTACGATGTAACCCCACCCTAATCCCTCCGTTAACT